ACGCATACCAGCGGCTCAAATTGTTTTGACAAGATTATTTTTTAACTCTGGTTTTGTTTCTATTTATTTACATTAAACATTAATCGTTTTGTTGTATAATCCACTTTTGCAATAATTATGTGACCTATTTAATTTAAAATGTATTCAGGATTTTTTTATACTTTGGCAACTAAGTTTTTATACTTTGGTAAGTAAATTAGATCGACTATATATATATATATATATATATATATATATATATATATATATATATATATATATATATATATGTGATATAAAATTAGTATTTCTTGGGTTTAAGTTCAATAAGTAATATTAAATTTGGAGTTAGATTTTATTGTCCATTGTCAATCAAGATTCTAAAATGTATAAGATTAGTAAAACGCAGTTATTGTAAAGTATATAAAAAAAAACTTAACTTAAAAAACAAAACGTAAAACGGGACATTGATATTAATGAATTGACTGAAATAAAATTGATGTCTGATATCTCATGGTTTACTTTTCATGGTCTTTTCCTTCCTAGGCCTCTCTTTCCCTCGATTTTTCCTTTCACTATAAGTTGGGCATATTGTTACTTATTATTTCTTAGTATGTGGCCTAGGTATGATGTTTTTCTAACTTTTACTGTGTTAAAAAGTTCTCTTCCCTTGCCTATTTTATGCAGCACTTCTTCGTTTGAGGTATGCGATGTCCATGAAATTTTGAGTATTCTCCGGTAGATCCACATTTCAAAGGCCTCCAATTTATTTACGGTTGATGTTTTAAGGGTCCATGTTTCAACTGCATATAGAAGAGTCGACCAGACGTAGCATTTTGATAAACGTAGTCGAATTTCGAGTTTTATTCGAGAATCACAAAGCAGTTTTTTTATTTTTTCGAAAGATTTTCTGGCCTGTTCTATTCTCGATCTTATTTCTAGATCAGGATTTAGGCTGCTATTGATCCAACATCCCAGGTACTTAAATCTATTGACCTGTTCTAAAATGTGCCCATTTATTGTGCAAGGTTGAGGTACGTTTTGGTTTTTTCGGATTGACTTTGATCACTTTGGTTTTTTTAATGTTTATTTTCATACCAAATTGTTCACAGGTCGAGTTGGTCTTGTCGATGGGTCGTTGTAGACCTAAGTCGGAATCCGCAATTAACACTGTATCATCGGCGTATCTGATACTGTTGATATTTACGCCATTCAAATTGACTCCATCCCTGGAATCCTCCAATGCTGCTTTAAATAGAAACTCGGAGTAAAGATTAAACAGCAGAGGCGACAGAACACATCCTTGTCTAACTCCCCTCCTAATTTCTACTTTTGCGGATGTGGAACCTTCGATCCTAACTCTGGCGTTTTGGCTCCAGTACAAGTTTTTTAAGAATTTGATGTCTTTTCCATCTAAACCGACTTCCTGCAAACGTTCTAATAGTAGGTCGTGTCTTACTCTATCAAATGCTTTTTCGAAGTCTATAAAGCATATAAATATATCTTTCTGTTGGTCGTAGCATTTTTGGGCTAAAACTAGTAAACTGAACAGGGCTTCTCTCGTTCCCATGCCAGTTCTGAATCCAAACTGATCGTCTCCGATGATTGTTTCGCACTTTCTATAGATACGATTATGTACGATTTTTAGTAGGACTTTTACTGTATGACTCATAAGGTCATGACATTACTGTCATTAATATATAATTATTTTTATATGGGTGTATCGTTGGTGTTTTCGAAAAAGTAAAGTGGACATATGCTATGACTTTAAGAGTGCTTTTATGGTATTACATTTATTATTATTTAAATCAGATTGAAATACATTTTATTTAGGTTCTGTGTATCTTTTTTGTCATTGATTGCTTTGGTTTTTCTTTTTATTTCTATTGATTCGTATATCGCAAATCGATAATAGAAACTTTGGGAACTACCAACCATTTATGTATAAAGTGTTCGGAGAAAACATCGGATTAAATAATTATTATCAGCACAAACTAATTTAGGTGAATAATATTACAACGTACCGAAAAGAATGATAAACAATTACGATAAATAGGTCTTACCGTTTCCGGTATAGTATCTGAAAACCTTGAATTACCACACTAAATAATAATACATAAGTGAATTTTGATAAGGATACTTGTGCGTCCTCAAATGGGATTTTTATCATCTCGGCCAATAAATGCGGAATTTTTTATGTTGTTTAATGCGGTGTGCATCTAGTACTTCGAGGAATTTTGAATAAACTTTGGTATTTTTTGTTTCCGTGAATTAACGTCCTTTTTCCGATTACGCAAATTAAAATAAATATAGAACATTGGTGGCATTTAATTATTATGAATTGCAAATTAATGGAATGCTGAATAATTGTGGGCATCTCATTAGATTATTCATTATGTAATCTTGAATGAAGTGTAATCTTTCTGAAGACGATCTGAAATTACTACAAGCAATAAAAATTACAAAGAACATAAAGTTCTTCTGATGATTGGAAAAGCACGAAATACATATCGAGGAATGGTGAGACTCGAATTGAGAAGAAATATATATAGAGATGTATATTTATATACAGAGATGTGAATTGCGATATTTATGCATGCGTTATTGATTACCATAAAGCTTTTGATACAATAAGACACGAAAGGTTGATGGAGATATTAACAAATATTGGAATAAGGACCTGTGATCTAAGAATTTATAGCAATCTGTACTGGAATCGAACATCGTCTATCCGTACCGAGGCAGGAGAATCCGATAATATCAAAATCAAACTTGGGGTCCGACAGGGACGTATACTGTGTACATGGCATACCAGGGTGTCCCCCTTGCCGGAAAACGAATTAACGAAGAATGTACCAATAACATCAGATACACGGGTGACACGGTGGTATTCGCTGACAGTTATAGAGCCCTCCAGGAGTTAATAAATAGAATCACAGAAGTGAGTCTATTCAGAGAGATATGGACTTTTACTCAACATTAAGGAAACAAAATGTATGATGATCTGTAAGAAGGAACAGCAAATTGAAAGAATCAGTGTGAATGGTCAACCAATAGAAAGAATAAAAACATACATCTACATTGGTACGACCGTCTATGAAAATTGGGACCATTCCCTAGAAATAAAATCTAGGATAGAGAAAGCAAGATCTGCATTAATAAATCATAAAATCAGGTGACTACGATATTATATCTTTCCTATACTGTTGTACGAACTTGAGTCGTGGACTCTGACTACAGACGCTCCCTGTAAAAATATTGAAGCGTTCGAAATTTGGCTTTATCGTAGAATCCTGAAGAGATTCTATACCGACCACGTTACTAATCAGGACGTTTTATTAAGAGTGCAAAAAGGAAAACAGCTGTTAACCACAATAAAAACAGCCAACATTGAATACCTTGGTCAATTAATAGTCAATTAATTCTTCAAGAAAAAGTAGAAGGAAAACGAGGACCAGGAAGGCGAAGAACTCCCTTGCTGAAAAATCTACGTACTTGGTTTAACACAACAACCAGTCTTTTCAGAGCCGCAGTTTGCAAAGCACAGATTGCCATGATAGTTGCCTACAAAATGCAAATGCAGTTCAGGACGAAGAAGAACCTCATGGTTGAAGAAATTGCGAGATTGGTATGGTGTTGATACAAGCATGCTATTTAGGGTGGCAGTGAATAAAATTAAGATAGCTATGATGGTAACCAACGTTCTGAAAGGACAAGGTACATGAAGAAGAAGAAGTTGCCTACATCCAAAACGGATATGTACTACAAGAAGAAGAAGTTACAATTAGGAATCACAGCCCCAGTATTTCCAGATTACTTCAAAATTACTACAAAATCCTTTGAATTGGTGAATGACTTGGAATTGGTTTATTTGGATATACCGCTAAATAAACAACTAATAGTGCGCGCACTATTGCCTGAATAAAACATCTTTTTATTGCAACTTTTATTTATATCGACTCAATAGATTTGATCAACTTTTTTGTTTTTTGTTAACAATAAATCATAAGGTAAATATATTGACAATTCAAATATTGTTAATATCTAACTTCATTGTGACTGCTACTCTTTATATACATTCTGTACTACGTGTGTATTATACAACAATACTGTGACAAATAAAGCGTGCCATACTAGGTGCCATGCTTTACTTGCACAATAAAATTTATATCGATGGCGCTTTGCCCAGCGGCGATATAAGGAATTAAATGAGGCGGTGAAAGGAAAAATGGTGTAAGTCCCTTTTTTTATAGACTAGAGATAATTGCATATTCAAAATCTCCATATTTAAATCTATCAGACGCAACAGTGGTGTAAGTCATAAGTCTTCAATTTGCTCACAGATAGCAGCACAAACTTGACAGTCAAACAAAATCTCTGTTGTAGTAGAGGAAATAGTGGTGCAAGTCAGACTTACACCACTATTCCGTCATTCCTATGACAGTTGTTTAGTATTTTGTAGTTGTGATTTTTCAATACAATGGATAGCGACAGTTTAAGTGATGTGAGTATTGAGCCTAGTATTTTCGCTTACTCAGGAGATGAGGAGTGGGTACCTTCTGATTCTCAACAAGAAAGTATTGGTAAGTTAAACTTGTGTACTATATTTGTATAAAATAAAAACTAACCTCAAAATGTTGAATTCTCTACACTAACAATAAATAAACTCGTATAAATAGAACAACGTTTTTGAGTATTATTTTAATAAAGTTGGTTTGTTTCAGACTGTGAATAAAATGAGGAAGTCCCTGTGCAAGACCATAAAAGCGAAAGTATTAGAGAAGTAGAAGTTTAACAACCCAAGAGAGCACGAAAATGACAGAGGCATGAAAATAAAAAAGAAAAAATAAAGCGACTTCGCAACTCAGGTTGTGAGTATAAGACAACAAAAGGAAAAGTAGTGGCAGGTAAAACTTTTTCAAACAACAACTGTTTTTGCAATAAAAAATGTTTTGAAACTATGTCATGTGAAGACAGAAAAAAAGTATTTGATTCATTCTGGAAATTGAAATCATTTACAGCACAGAATGCTTTTATTTGTGGCTTGATCAAACAAAACAAACCTGAAGTAAAACGTCCTAGGGATCAGTCACGACCTGGTAAGACAGTGTCTAACCAATATTCCATTCAAAAACAAGGCGAAACTACGAAAGTATGTAAAAAATACTTTCTTGGAACCTTCCGGATATCTGATCGGTCACGGGCCATTAATAAGATAAAACAAGGGGAACCACCTGGTTCAGATAATTCAGGCCATGGTATACCAACTAATAAAATATCTGGAGAACGTATGAACTGTGTCCGGAAACATATTCAAAATTTTCCATCTGACCAATCGCACTACACAAGGAATAAGAATCCCAATCATAGGTATCTATCTTCTGACCTTAATGTTCCTGCTGTATCGTTTGTACAATGAGTACTGTCAGGAACAAGTTACTGTCCCCGTTTCCAGTGATATTTATCGCCGTACATTCAATAATGAGTACAACCTTCATTTTCATGTACCACAAAAAGATACGTGCTCTTAGTGTGATGCTTACAATATAAAAAAAGCTGCAACAACAGACGCTAGTGAGATAAAATAGATTGAAGTTAAGCACGAACTCCATCTTAGGAAGGCCGAGCTGGCACGTACTTCTATGAAAAAAGATACAGAAAAGGCCCAGACTATCGATTTTTACTATGCATTCACTTTTGACTTAGAGAAAGCCCTACCTTTCCCAAAACTAACCACATCTATCGCATACTATAAACGTAATATGTACATTTACAATTTGGGCTGCCATGAGCTATCATCTGGCTTAGGCTACATGTATGGATGGGATGAAACAACAGCTTCGAGAGGATCTCAGGAAATCAGTGCCTGTGTCACAAAGCACATAGAATTACGTGCAGCAAATTCAAAGCATGTTATATTGTACAGTGACAGCTGCACCGGCCAAAATAGAAACTGGAATTTTGCCTTGGCCTTGTTACGATTAGTTCAAAGTGAAGACAATACTATCGAAATAATTGATCACAAGTTTATGATAAGCAGACACTCTTACTTACCAAACGACTCCGACTTTGGTTCAATTGAAACTCACTCTAAAGGCAAATTGATTTATGTGCCTGAAGATTGGTTTTCAGTCATAGTTTGATGTAGAAAGAAAAAAGCTTTCATTTTCACAAAAATGCTTAGAGAAGACTTTAAAGATCTGAAAAATCTCACTAAATCAATTTCAAAAAGAAAAACCAATACCTATAACCAACCAGTGTCATGGTTAAAAATGCAGTGGATTAGAGTCAAAAATGATGAGCCATTTTCACTGTTCTATAAAGAAACATTAAATGAAGATTTTTTCTTTTCACAAATTAATATCCTTCAAAGCAAGCAGAAGGGAAGACCAACATTGTTGAAAAATCTTCAACTGGATTGCCTGTACACAGCACCTCGACCAGTAATGCCAGCTAAAAAACGGGATATGTGTGATTTACTACCATACAATCCTCCAGTCCACCATTCTTATTTTAGAAATCTTATATCATCTGATGAAGTCAATGACGAAGCTGGACCACTTCCTGATGTCGAAGAAAACAATGATTAATAAACTAGTGAATTTATATTTGATTTTCTAATATAAAAACAATAAACATGTTTTGCTTTCTTTACATTCTCTTTAAACTCTTAAAGGAATAGTGGTGTAAGTCATTTCAACCCTTAAAAACTACCCTTAACATAGTTTTATTTTTACAAAAATGTTAATAGAGTTAAACATGTTCTTAATAAATAAAAAAATATCACAAGCATGTTTATAAATGTTCCACAGATTTAATTACAATGTTTCTAGTAAAACCTTTTATATCTCAAAATGATGCTCAGATGACTTACACCACTTTTCCTTTCACCGCCCCAAATATCAAAACGACTGTATTGTTTTCAAAAAAAAAATTGATATTCCTGAAGATAAACGTGCCAAAAAAAGAAATGTTACTGAAAATATAAGAGAAGATGTAAAACGCAATAAAAACTCTGGAAGTCCATACCTAACTTACAAGCAAAAGCGAGCAATATCTGCCAAACTTTTTTGCGAATAGGTAAAGTAAAAAGTTTTAATTTTGTTTTCAGAGCGTATAATGCTCAGTTGCCTGAAAGGAATGGATAGATTTTATTAAAATATTCTTTTAGGTAAAGTGCAGCTGTCAGTACTCTTGTAAGCTAATTACTGTTGTTGCAAGAAAAAGAGTGTTTAAGTAGTTTTGGAAACTGATAGATTATAATGAGCAGCAGAACTTTTTACGTTCCCTTATTCGACCTACTTTAATCAAACGTAGAAGACATGGAAAATACGATTATCCCAACCAGAGTAGACGACAACACTCATTTAAATATTTTCTACCACTTCCAGTAGAATCTGAAGTTCAGGTATGTAAAAGTACTTTGTGTTTAACTTTTGCTAGCACAACAAGAAGATTGGAGATACTTAGTCAGCGATTACTCTTCTCCTGCATATCTGTTCAAGACAGACGAGATTGTAAACGTCCAGCCAGAAACAAAACCCTATGGAAACAATTAATTATTGATTTTATTGCATCAATTCCCAGCAGAAAAAGCCATTACAGTCAAGAAAAAGTTACGAACCGAAGATGCCTGTCTGAAGATTTGAATGTTCGTAAGCTATATAATGCCTTTCGTGAAAAACATCGGCTCGATAGAACACAGCCACCAGTCTCTTGACAATGGTTTAATGGAATTTTCAACAAATAATTCAGTTGAGTGGATACCTGTCCTACTTGCGACCAGTTCAAAATTTCTATAGCTGCTGTATCTGTATCTGTAGAGTAGGGAGGGCGAGTTAAGTTTTACAGCACTTAGGCCACAATTGACCCATTGTGCATCCTCCCAGGGAGCTGTCACCCTTAGCTCATTGTCCATCCTGCCATTTCTAGGAAGGTGGACAAGTCACCAGGAGACATCTCACTTATGTGGGCAGGTGTAGGCCAGGACTCGCCGAACGCGTACTCTCGTATTAACGATAACTCTGGGCATTCACATAGGACATGCTCTACAGTTTCGTCTTCTCGTTCACACTTCCTACATAGAGGTGTATCTACTAGCCCCAGTGTGTGGAGGTGTTTGCTTAGTTGACAATGACCAGTTAAAAAACCAACTGCCAAACGTAGATTTTTCCTGGTCATTCCCAAGTACTTCTTTGATGTTGACTCTTCAAGGTTACTTAGTGTTAACCTGGCAAGTCTACATCCTTTCCCTTCTTCCCATCTTTTTACGGTTTGCGTATGGGAGTGACATTTGACAATTTCCGCGATTGTTGTAGTTGACCAACCAAGAAGATCCCCAGGTCCTAGGAGTCTTAGGCCTGCCGCCTTCCTAGATAATTGGTCAGCAATGCGGTTGCCTTTATTTCTATAGCTGCTAGTAAGACTTCTGTGGAAAAAAATGAATTCAAACTCAATTGAGACTTACATCAACGTAAGGCAGAGAGCGCTCAAAAAATGATGTCCCAAACATAGTAGATTGCAAAAGTTCTCAGTCTGATTTACGATTTACAAAAGCAGCTATGTATTCCAGCATTGACTCATTCGCAGATGTACTATAGTCGGCAGTTTAATTGTATTAATCTGGGAATACATTTTGAAGATAAAGGGAAAGGTTTTATATACCTATGCTATGAAAAAGCTAAAAAACATGGTTCTAACGAAATCGGTAGTTGTTTGTATGATTACGTTATAGCTCAGGTTAATACTACAAAGCGAAAAATGGTTCTATGGTACGATAACTGTGGAGGGAATTATAAAAATCAGGGTATTTTTGCTGTTTGTATTACTCTGGTAGCCAAAGGGTATTTCGACTAGATAGTGCATAAGTTTCCACAAAGTGGCCACATATTCCTATCATGTGATCGGGACCTTGGCTACATTGAAAAAGCCAAAAAAGGTCTTAAGCCTGAAGTATCTATGGATTTGGTACGTATAAGTGCGCGTGTAAAAAATCCACTTGTCATTAAATGCACCAATTTTTCAACTGAATGGAAACTGCAAAAAGTATCCTAGTAACCTCTACCCTGGGCATCTCCCAAGCTGAAAATATCTAAGGACAACTTATGGCAAATTGAAGTTAAAACGTCGTACTTGGAGGTCGCACCATGTCGCAAAATGCGCAAAAATTAAACAAAGAAAAAATTAAAGAAATTAGAAGTATGATCCCATGTCACCCGCCAATCAAGAATTTTATCAAAAACTGGTAGAGAGTCAGGAGGCCCTACAAAATGAATAAAAATAAGTTACAACTTATAAGTTTATAATCAAATGTTTTGTATTAGCATTATAATATTACCATTATATTTAACAAACTGTTTTGTATAATAAAGGCGTCAGAAAAACAATACGTGTTCATATTTTGTTTAAAATACGATTTTTACCATCCATTATACATGTGCACTTTATTGGCACATACTACGTTTGGATAATTAATGGCAAATAACAAATTTATTACCAATATTTTAATCAAAATTTTATTACTTGCCTATAATATCTAAAATGATATCAGAAATAGCCACAAATATTTTGCATTTCTTAGTAAGCTAAAACAAAACAAATGAATGCGCCTCCTGTAAAATTTTTAAAATTGCACATACCACCTTTTGCATATGGCACGCTTCAAATGTATTATATGTTTGCAAAATTTTGAAATGTGTTTAATTCGTAGAAAAATAATTGTTTATTGTTACATTACTGGGGTTAATAAAAGAGAGTTTCGTACTGAATTGAGTATCCACCAAAAGAGGGCTAATGCTTTTTATAGTCTGCTAAAAGAAACTCCTGAAAATTCCATTACATTCTTATTTGATACGCAGCAGGTGCAGCGTTTGCCCAAAACACCTATTAATGATGCGTTTTATGTACAGCAGATTGGCATGTTTGTGTTTTGCTGCGTTGATAGCAGGTAGGGGATCAATTGTTGTTGTCCAAACATCCAACTGTTTTTACGTTGGCTGAAGATCAGGCAGGAAGGGGATCAATTGAAATAGGTTTTGCACTTGTAAATTATTTGGATTCTTTAGAGTACGATAATATTACGACACTTCGCCTCTTTGGCGATGAATGCGGTGAACAGAACAAAAACTCCCGTATTATTCATTCGCTGTACTTCTGGCTTAGATTTAAAGCTCCAGTTCAAGTAACAGAACTTTACTTGTATTTCCAGTCAGGGGCTATTCGTATTTGCCAGTAGACAGGGTATTTGGGTGAGTAGAAAAGCTTCTAAGAAAAAAGCCACAATTCTCTCTAGAGATCAATATGAAGAAATTTATAAACAAATTGGAGTTGTTAAAAAGATAGGCACTGATTGGAGATTGTTTAATATAAAAGAGCTGCAAGTTAGCTTGAAAAAAGTGAAAGCGCTAGCTAATGCAAAGAAGATTGTAATAAAAAAATTTAACAATAGCCAATTCATAAATATACCATCATTCCAAAACTATTATTTTACCAGTGGGTTGAAAAATTTTGAAAAACTTTTTGAAACCAAAATTTTCCGATATTGAGTTGATTATCTCAGAAAAAGAACTGACTCGTGGTATTCCCGAAAAGAAAAATCCCTTAAACACTTATTAAATCAACAGTTCGATAAAGATTGGGAGAAATTCCAAGAACTTGACTGGTACCGGGAATTGCTTAATGGTAAAAGCTCAAATGAAAAGGATGATGAGGAAGAGAGAGGGGAGACATGTGACTGTCTGGAAGAGGAACCAACGCTTCAGATTTGATTTTACTGTGTTCAAATTGTTAAATACTTATAATAAAAATAATTTTCTACATTCCAGTTCGTGTATTTTCTTTTATAAACAACAAAAATATTATGCTCTTGCAATGATCTTTCAGGCAAAAGCCGATAAATTTCTGTTTTCAAGCAAAACCCGATAAATTAAAAAAATTTTTGATTTTTTTTTTTGAAAATAAAGCATTTTGTTACATGACTTGTACTGCTATTTATTTCCAATATGATATTTCTTTAAATTGATATGGGATTTTGCTGTACAAGGTTTTGCCTTTTATCTCAAAATTGAAAAAAGTGGATTTATATGCTCCTCAATTTGTTCAGATAGTTTATCATGACTTCTGATGTAAAATAATTAGGGAAGCAAGAATTCAACAATTTAGAAATTCCCGTTTAACTGGCCATAGATTTTTCTGTGGTTCGTTTAACGATTCACCACCTGGTATAATCTTACTTATAATGTATTGTATAATGTGAATCGATTGATATATTGTATACTGTTGTAACATTCTGTCTTGAAAAGAAGAAACAACAAGAAACAAGAATCTATTATTTCTAAAACCTTTATGGACGCATAGTCACGTCCCGAGTAAAAACAAATTCAGTTAGAATAAAATATGACTTTATTTGTCAGTTCGGACTCGCCTATTCGGAAAAATATGATTTCATAAAAATATAAAAAAGCTGTTCGGTATTGCCTTCTGACCATCTTACATCGATAAAAAGATTTCCTCATATTATTTTATGGCGTTTCTTCGGTCCACGGCCCTATGTGTGTATCAAGAACTTTTCATTTTATCCTTTTTATTATATATTTCTCTTTTTATAGCAACTAAATTCCTTTTAAGTTGTTTGTATCTCTCGGTATATTAAGTTACTTGTAAAGTTTTAAGATATATATAACACATTGGCGTATCTGCTACCTTTTAATTTTTTTCACCAAATTCGTGTTAATCATAAAAATGTTATCGCATTTATCTAAAGTCTAGTTCTTATTGCTTATGTATCATATCTGTGATGTGGCATACGTAAGAAGAAATATGTACAGTACATCTTAGGATCAGATTAAATTAGATAAACAATTAGAAACTTTACAATACAATAATATGCAAATATAATACTATGCAACCAAAAAACAAATGTTCCTTTTAATAACAAAATTAGATTAAAAGTTTACTACATAAGACTACAAAAACTGTTAAAGATTTTGTCTAAGAAAATTTAAAGACATTTACAAATAATGCTTTATTGCCACTGAACATTGTACAATTCTATTAACAAAGCTTACAAAAAGTCATAAAAAAATAACAATTAAAATTTAATAAAAATACATATTTTGTCAATATCGCAAAATAAAAGATAATAAAATATACAATCCATTGCAAACTTTAACTAAACTGCAAATTGCATAATAAAATCTTACGAACTAGTTTACAAATAAGTTTAAGTTGCTGTATGTGATACTCAAATATATATAAAAAATACTTTAGTTGCTTGTACCTAATCGTACTGTAATTTCTTAGTTATTCTTAGTTATTCGAAGAAACTCTTCCACTGAATAAGATGGTCTTTCAGATTTTTTAGGCTTTTGTGAATTTACGGAACTTAAGGAAAGAAGTTGTAGATTTAAGTACAACCATCACCAGCAAAGGATGATGGTTGTATAATTTTTTTGCCGAATATAATATAGATTTCTTTATCAAATTAGTGGACGAGTAAATACTCACCAAAGTTTGAATTTCTGGTGGAGTAGTCATGATTAGGTCTTGCTGGAAAAGCATGTAGGTAATTACGAATTAAGCAAACAGTTTCTAGAATGTATAAAGAGGGAAGAATTAAAATCCCGTGATTTTTGAAGTAGCTTCTGCAATGTGTTATTATACTGAGGCCAAAAAGATACCGTATTGCCTTTTTTGTAATTTAAAAATAACATCAGATGGGCAGCTGTACTAGGATTTCAAAAAGGGAGGCCAGAGGGAAGATAAGACTCGAACAAAGAAAAATATATTATTTTGGAAGATGCTAAATTGTTTTTCTTTGAAATAGATCTTATTGCATAACAGGCTAAGGCTACCAAGAAATTTTACAGAAAGAGGCAAGAGTTCAAGAGCTCCATTATAGGATAATACTACCGTCTTATCCACGTTAACGAGAGTTAATTAGAGTCGGACCAGGTTTTTATTTTAAGTAGATCAGAAGTTATAATTGCACGAAGAGTTGCAATATACAAAGTATCATCAGCAAAAGAAAAGATAAGGAAAAGTAAAGAACCCAGTATTGAACCTTGTAGTACTCCACATACAATGCTTTTGTGATTAGAGTCAGTATTATTTGCTCTAACTAGTTGTTTCCTATTTCTCAAGTAAGATTGGAACCAATTAAAAGAAATACCTCGAATTCCGTTGAAATTTTGTTTTTTTTTTATGTCATGATTTACACAATCAAATTCCATCGATCGTTACCAAAAGATAAGTTACAAAGAATCGCACTGAGTGTCAAGTTCGTAGGCCGATTAGAACAGGAAAATTAGAGCAGATCTGGAGATACCATTTGACCAAAGTCATATCTGTGAAGGTGATTAGTATCTGTACCCTTCACCATAAATATAATTAGTGGAGCCTACATTGCATACAAATATCCTCCTCCTCAGTCTTAATTCCTTTTGGGATGTGGTGACACCATCAGGCTTTCACAGTTTTTTTACGATTTCCCTCCATCCTTCTCTGTCCTGGGCAAATATATATTTATAATAATATAACAAATATAATAATCATCATCAGTCTATAGTCGTCAACTAGTGAGCATTCAGACCAGCATCTTGCGCTGTCACATACCAGTTGATACATATCCTCTTTATGTTGCCAGTCTATCTGATAATATTTACTACAAAACTGGGAAAAAATATAATTATATATATATATATATATATTATATATATATATATATATATATAATATTGGAAGAGAAGTTGTAGAAACATAGATAACACAATTGGCTATAGTAGATCAAAGAAAGCTTGGAAGAAATAAAAAAAATTAGAAAAAATAAACAAGGTGAGAACATCTTACAAATAATTACTTAAATGAAGGATCGACTGAAGCCAACAGGATGAATCAGTTTCATGATATTGAACTAATAAACTCCTATGAACTACCTTGGGCTTAGTTCTAGCCGAAAACTGGATGCAGGAGATTAGATCGTTAATTTTCTGCAAGATGGTGTACGGGCCTTACGTTAAAGTTTCGAACAAAAGTCCTTTCTTAATTTGAGATTGTATAACCATACTGGGTCACCCATTTCGAAAGTTGTCCCGATCTAGGGACTTCTAAGCTGGCATCGACTCTATCACTTTGAAGCTTGAAACTTTCACAGACAAATTCGTAGACTTTTTTTAATTTTTCAGAAAGAAATGAGAAAAGAAATTCATGCAAAAGCTTAAAAAAACTGGTCTATATTTCTATTCGGTTTTGTGACTATTTATATTTATTTATGTCGTCTCGATAAACAGGAAAACAGGGGAACCTGTTTATTTTTTTCAACAGCCTATCTCCTGATGTATTGCTATAAAGTATGTAATAATGTTACTGGAACTTTACTTGCTTTATGTCCACTTTCAGTTTTTTATTCTTTGTGAAGTAAGTATGGTTAGGCATTTTGTACGAGACTGTATTGAAAACAATGCATTTCTTTTTATAAACCCGATTAGCCATACTTTGCTACCTGAAAATTTTTTACCAGTTTGGGAAGTGGAAGTTGGTGGCTCTGACTATTTCATTAACTCATAAAACTAAAGAGCTTGGATTAAATAACCACTTAGAGGTATTATTGTTTGAATTAGTTCCATAATCCAAATCGCGATGGCTCTTTCTGTTCTTTCTAATAATACATCCAATAATACAAGATAAAAATTTGGCTCTTTCGCCTAAATTAAAACGTTTTCCAATTGCCGTAGATCCTTCTACTTTTCCTAAGCGATCTAAAATTACAAATTTCGTTTCCAACGAAATTGATTTTTTTGATGTTTTTTTACTTCATTGTTGCAAAAAAAAATATTTAAAAAAGAAGTAAAAGAAAATTAGACTTACGATAATGAGATGGCAAAACCCTTTTTCTTCTTCTTCTTCACTGGCTTAACAACTCGGGGTGAGTCTTCGCCGCATCCACTATCGCCCTCCATCCTCTACGATTTTACGCTTCCATTTCCCATTGGTGTATCCCAATTCTAGATAAATCGGCTTCAACATCATCCTTCCTTTTTTTTCTCGGTCGGCCTACTGATCTTCTACCATCTGGTCTTACAAAAACATTGTCTTTAACACTCTGTCATCCTCTGATCGTACCACATGGCCTGTCCATCTTATTCGGTTTGCCTTGATATGCCTAACTATGTTTTCAGTTCCATACAGAGTCATTACTATATCCATACTATGTTTTCAGTTCCATACAAAGTCAACAATTCAGCATTGCAGCGTCTTCTTCAATCCCCTCTTCTAATAAGGGCAAAAACCTCGTCTAATGAAAAATAAAAATTTACGACACTCACTTGAAATCTTTCAATCCGAAAACCGTGCTGCTTATTATACTGAATCAGCAAAACAATTTATTATAAAACGAAGCACCGGTAAGAGAAAAAATATTTAAAAACAGGTTATACCTTTCAATGGGAAACTCTTACATGCAATGATGTAATAGGAACATCATGGAACAAGGTAATCCCCGAATTGCAAAGGCTCACTTAACTGACATTTGGATATGAATAGTTAATATTTAATTATAATAGTTATTAATAGAATATTTTGAATAAAACATAAAACGCACAACTTTAAAATCCCCTAGGAATAATCCGCATAAAGAAGCCCTTTAGAGAGAAACGTTCCTCTTCTCAGGGAGACAATCTTTAAAAAATAAGACCTTGAGGAAGCTTCATTTCCCTTCCGGTGATCATCATCTATGGAGAATTACCAGTCGCTTCATGTTTTAAATTTCTAT